TCTTTCTTTCTTTCTTTCTTTCTTTCTTTCTTTCTTTCTTTCTTTTTCTCTTTCTTTCCTTTCCTTCTTTCTCTTTCATTTCTCTCTCTCCCTTTTCCCCCTCTCTCTTTCTTTCCTTTCTCTCTCCCCCCTCTTCCTCCAAATTTCTTTTGAAATCTTGTCAAGAAAATTATAAGCATTTGACCAGCCAGTCAATACAAGCAACAGAAAAAGAAAAATGCTTTTCTTTTAAGTCTTTTCATTAATAAATTGTATAATCCTAGCTCTGGAGAATCAGAAGAAGCCCTTGCAGAATTTAGAATTGCATTACGTCTTAACAATTTTATTTCAAATGTTATTGCTGCTGAATAAATACTTGAGGAAGCTTTTCTTACTGCTCGTTTTTCTCATGGCCACAAGGTAAGTCATATAGTCAGGAGCATATATAACTGTTACAGAGCTGTAAGTTCAGAGTAAATGAACATTCCACAAAAATTGGTGCCATTCAGGGGTAACTTTCTCTTGCAGGCTTTTAATATAGTTTCCCATAGACTCTTTATCACAACACAGCTTCCTAAGTCTGAAACATTTAGCCTCACCTTTCAGCATCTGAAATAATGCATATTTAGAGCAGCTTATCTTAGCCATATGAAAATTGTCAGGCTTTCAGGGTACTGCAACTCTGAAAAGTTCATTCTGCCTGATGAAGCCCATGAATAATATTAATCACTTATCTTAAAATGCAAACTTTGGTGTGGTCTCAATGTGTCAGAAGCAAACTAAACCCTGCTCCTCTTATTGTAAAGCATGAGTAGAATAATTAATTGTATCAGTAGAGCGGTTGAAACTGGCATGACACTCACTTATCATATCAATATGATAGCAGCTGCTTATTGCCATAAGCCAGAGTACTGCTTGAGTGAATAATGGAAATGTTCTGGATATTACTTTTTAACATCTAAGTCATGCATTGTTTTTCCAAGATGGATAACCCTAGATTTAGAAAGGAATGTTGCCATCACCTCTGGGGATAATGGGATATAATCAGCTGTCACCATAAAGAGTAGTCCTAACATTCCTCAAGTTAAGCTATCTCCATGCTCAACTTATATTGCTTGTGAGGTTTTTAATTTGGAAAGAGCAGTTATGGCAAGCAAAATTGGAATGTATTGGACCTGCTTACTTCTTTGTTCTTAAATATATGGGCTATATTGAGAGGTGTGGGGAAATAATGCATAAGGCATCCTGCATGGGTGGTGGTGGGAGTTCTGGCCACCCAGTTATTGGTGTACCACAATTCCTAGCATCCCTCCCTACTGCTCAGACTGGCTGGAACTGCAGGGAGATCATTAGTTACCACTGGAGAACCATCAGCTTCCCACACTTTTATACCCAGTATTTCTTAGCATATCAACGCAGTCCCAACCTACAATTAGGAAATCATACTAATCTACTTTCTCAACAAAATATAAAGGTACCATCTTTATCTAATAACAGTGTTTCAAATTTCCTCCTCCATATCCTCTGCAAATGATCTGTCTCCTGATCAAAGGATGTAGATTTATTGGCTCTGTGCTAAAAAAAGAACTGCTCTGAGATCTGTCAAACTTGTTGAAATACATTTGTATAGATTTTTAACTACACAAGAAAAGAGAGCCTGGAATGGATTTCTAATCCCATCAAGCTTCAATGAGACCTTCTTCCAATCTCCTCTCCACATATTTGATGTCAGAGGAATGAAGAGACCGTGTCTACGTCTGTTACAAATCATCCTTTCAGGTCTCATTTCTACCTACATCACTTTGATTTAAAATTTATGCAATCAAGATGTTGAATTATGTAGCATAATTTATGTATGTGGTATGTTACAGATTATAAGCGGATGGGCCTCTTGTGGGCCTCAATGATTCAATGCTAGGGAAACCAAAAGGAATGGGAGGGGGATGGAAGAAAGTTATTTTAGTAACTGCTGTGCAATTATTGTACCTACATATGCATAATACTAATTGACAATAAGGTAGACAGATGTCATGGCCGAGAGTGTAGCTTGATAGTAGCACACATGCTTTCCATACTAAGAGCTCCTCATTTAATTGCCAAGATCATTATGGAGAAAAACTCTAGCATGAAATTGTGGGAAAGTTGCCAATAAAACATCCTTTTTATTATCAATCTTTGTTACAAATTAACCCAATAAAATGTATGCTATCAGTAGATAGTTTGTGAATATGCAGGTTGTGATACTCCATATGGTTTGCAGCTGGCAATTTTAACAGATAAAATGATTACAATCATTAAAATGATTCAAATCTTAAAATCATTTTAAGAAATGGAAAGGGGGAAAAATTACCAGTTCAATCCAAGAATTAATGCTAACGGTGATGGGGTCAATGGATTCAACATAATGCCACCAGTGTCTAGGAACCAACAAGACCTGAAACAAAAAGAAATGAGAATTTTAAAGTTGTAAATTCTTTTCTTACAAACATGTATGTTGCACAAGAGCATTTACACTGTAAACAGAAATGGTTGAATATAATACTTTTAATACTAGCATAAAACTTTTATCATTGATCTCCCCTTGCACTTGATACATCCAAGGAATTATGATTTTTATGGATAATATATTCTGCAATATCTCCAACCCACTCTTCCAGTCAAATGAATAATCTGGTACCTTATAAAAAGTGAAAGAAATAAAATATGCCCTATTAAAATCACAGAGTTTAGTTAGCAATCATGAAATCAAAGAACTATATGAAATACAAATTGAAGAAATGAAATTGTAGAACTATCTGTCAAATTAAAATGAACAAATCAATAGGACTGGATAGTATAAGCTGAGAGTTCAGAGACTATCGCTATAAATGACAGGTAGTTCCCGACTTACAACCGGTTGCTAGAGTCCATTCAAAGTTACGACTACCTGAAAAAGAGGATTTATGATCCATATCCAAAGTTGGAACAGTTGGGCTGCTCCATATTCATCATTCAACTTTGGGTACTTGACAATGTGGCCACATTTATGCCATTTGCAACATCCCACAATCACATGACTTTTACATTACCAACAGCAAACAATTGGTCACTTAACAACCAATATGTTCATTCAACAAGTGCTACAAACAATTATAATAAAATTGGGTCAGAATGGCTCCATTACGTTTGCATGTTTTGATGACTGCTTATAGTTGCCGGATTAATAGAAGACCATTGTTAAAAGCCATAGGTTTTCATAAAAAATAGACAGATTTAAACACATCAATTGGGCATAAGAAATTTGATATCAGTCTTCAATGAGAAGCCGGGACACTTTTCTTCTACACTGACCATTTAGCTGCCAATGGGAAGTCTGTAACCAAGGCGTGATGTCGGTAAGCCCTCTTCCTTTCTTTTCTTCTGGCAAAGAGTGTTCAGAATTGTGGAACTTCAGGCTGAAAGCAACTTGGTAATTTTGAATTTGGCAGTTTTTGAAATTGTAGCCAGAAGCACTCTATCAGCAGCCTTAGTGCTGAATAGGTTATCAGGCAATGGTGGGATTCAAATAATTTAACAATCGGTTCTCTGCCCTAATGATTTTTTTCAACAACCAGTTCACCAAACTGCTCAGAAAGTTAACAAGCAGTTCTCCTGAAGTGGTGCGAATTGGCTGAATCCCACCACTGGTATCAGGCAAAGAAAGGTGTTTTAAGGTCTCAGTTTTTCACTTTTCTTGCTATTTTTATAACCGCCCAATCTCCAGCCAAAAGCAAGAGTTAGAATTTTCTTCTAAATTCACTGGATTTCTAAAGGTAGAGACAAAATTTAGTCAAATAATCTTTCAAGAATTTTTCTAATGTAGCTGTCACTTCAAGCTGCAAAGAGTGCATGGATCACAACCAGTGGTGGGTTTCAAAAATTGTTGGAACCTACTCTGTGGGTGTGGCCTCCCTTGTGGGAGTGGCTTGCCACCCATGTGGTATCCTCTTTTCATAGTGGAATAGTGCATGAAATCATATGCCAAATTTCTAAGTAAATA